GAGTTTGTTTGACCTCAATCTCGCAAAAACCATGTATAACGGACTTATTCTCCAGAGCTCGTGTGTCACAAGGATAGAGTGCTTGGAGTCCAAGCTCCAGTCGATTCAAATCCAGAAGGTAATTCTACACGTTCACGGCATTCCCCAGTACAAAATGCTGGTCAACAACGCCACCGCCATATCACTCCTCATCATCATTCTGGATCACACAAGCAGGCATGCTTCTTTCATGTAACCAAAGATTTGTGGCCTTTTTTGAGATGTTGTATATATCCCACGATATCTACATAAACATTTGGCACATTTTTAACAAATTTTCCATGGTCTCGCCGTCTCACAAAAATCGGAAGCCCCAAGTTGAGCCAGGCTAAGCCTGAGCCTTTTGGTAGAGCCTGGGTTGTAAATTCTCCAAACCTGAAAAGCCGACGCCAAGACGGGTCAGAGCCGGGCCGTACACAACACTGTCACGGTATAATTGGCATCAGTAACATCTAGGCTTACAATTAAGCTAGCTTCTGGGAGCAGAACCTTGTGATGATTAGGGCTGGTGGCCGTTTCCTCTACGAAGGCAAACTACTTCCATGGTCTCACCATGGTCGAGGTAATTATGACGAGTCCAATAACAGATGGCAGTCGATCTGCCTGACTATGGTCAAGTCTGTGATCCATCTGTGACCAAGCTCGAACTTCTGAGTCTGCCTCACTGCTTCTATGACGATGGATACCCATCCACGGGAGCTCGATACTCATTTTAAATGGCCCCCTATGGTATGGTCTATCTACTACATAGCCTAGAGGCAATTATCTGTCGTTGAGCCTATAGCCAAGCTGAGTCTGCTCCACTGCTTCTGTGACGATTTTCTTGATGCATATACCAATGTACGGAGCTGACGACTTGTCCTCGATACCTCCTAGGGCGTAGCATATCCACTGCATGGCCTGTATCCTGTGCACATGGCCGTAGACCACGTAATATTCGGAGTATCCAGCGATATATGAAGTACCAACACCGGTCAGCTGGCTATAATTGTCAGCTCAAATGTGACCTTTGGGTGAAGCTGGGTAACAAGAGGTGCTAGGCTATACGCATGATATGACATACGTTCGGTTCCTATTTGACTGATAGGGTTAAGCAAGTCCAGCAAGAGCACCGGTTAAAAGGCATGATCAAAATGCGCAATACAACAAGCTTTTTCCCTCTCAAAGCATCAACACACCCATCAGAATGCGTTTCACTAGCATTCTTGTGCTTTTGTCTCTCACTGTATCGTCTCTCTGTACTACTGTCGCCGATGTAACAAGAAGCATTTCTCTCATTGATGACAATCTTAATGCATTTCTGAATGCTATTGAAGCATTTCCCCCAATCATCGGCTTGGGTACCGTCGCTCAGGCTCAGGTGTGGGTTTCATTGTGTTTTCGCCGACCAAAATCCACTGAACCGTTGTGAACTAGTTAATTCACACAGCCCAAGATGCTCTCTCAGTTACAATTACCTTAACGGCCAACGCAGTCCAGGTATGTATCTAACTATATTGCCCAGTCAGTCACACTAATCATCCTCTATTTGCTCCTTGCACCCAGGAATTGTCTTCCTCGATCTCCGAAGAGGATGGTCAGAATATCCTCGCTCCCCTCGAAGGACTTCAAAAGAGAGCCATTCAATCTGTCAATGAACTCGCACTACGCAAGGGCGCGATTGCTGTTCTTTTCATTCCCGGTCTTCCTCCTGGTGTAACTCCCATTGTCATCGTCACTCAAGATTTTCTCAAATGTAAAACGGTCGTCAACACACTCAAGACTGCGCTACAAATTGTTTTACCTGTGCGTTTCGATTGCCCTCAGTGATGGTTACATTGCTCAGTGCATTGATCCCCCACAGTCCCCAAGCCTCCGTAATGAATTGGACGACCTTGCAAATCCTGTCCTCGCTGCCTTGGACAATGCTCTTAATACGTATACAACCTAAAGCAGTCCAGATTACTCCAGAACACGTACTTGACGATCAGAGATAGGTAGTATTCCGATGGAGAGGTGTTACTTTTCGACCTTGGTTCCGAGTTTCGCTGGTTTACTTCCCGGATTCGCAATTTACGCAAAATTCCATACAACTCTTCCTCTACATTTTCCTGATAAGTGCGGTTATGAGTGAATATATCCGCCAATCGTGTCACCAAGGGATCGCATGGGATGAATACCTTGGGCTCGTTGCGTCCAAAGCAAAGTTCGATGACTATGGATCCGTTGATTGAAATTATGTAAAGTTCTCATTGGAACCATCATGATTCAGCTCAAAACGCCCAGCGAGATCCGGTGAATTGCTGCTCCGTACTCGTACTCGTTCCTCCCGTAATATCTACTAACCTTTTTACTCAAGGAAAGCTAGTGACTGCTATGCTTCTGATGGACTCTGCTTTAATACCGCTACGGTACGGCCACCATTCGATATGCCACTGGCAAAGAACTGTTCTGCCTATGTGACTACTTGTGCTAACTGCCGCCTTTCGCGAACGTTAACCGAATTGAAACGTCACGTTGATCAAATGAGATGCCCTTCCAGGGATCCCATCAGCTTTCCATTTCCAACACTGGTTAGCTCGGATAGCTCCTTGGTCGATAACTCAAAACCGACTCCCGAGCCATCGAGCACAGTCGTCATTTGGGCGCGAGGCGAAATCGCTTCCGTCTTGAGCAGTACATACATGCTGTACGTCAAATGAGCGGTTTGTTTGCTAGTGCCCATAGGGCTAGCCATGACCGTGTTATAAGACGAGCATCCTTCAAGTCACCAAAACTGCACACTCGAAGCACCTGTTCTCCATCAGCCAGCTCTTCACTCAACATGCGTTTTCCCAGCCTCATTTTGCTCACATCCTTTGCTGCCTCATCGCTCTGTTCCACTGTTGCCGACGTTAAGAAGGATATCAACCTTATCAGTGCCAATATCACACAGTATGCCACTGTGGTTAAAGCTTTCCCAACGCTCGCCAACACGGGAACTGCACTTGGATATAACGTATGTTAAAACTCAACTGTTGAGTCCTAACCATGGCTCATCGCGTCTCTATCGATGTAGCGTATTCACCTCGCAGTCGAGACCCTGGGTCTCGCCTTGATCAAAACGACCGTTGATGTTAAGGTAAGACTCAAGTGCTCTTCACCGATTCATTAGTTTCTCACGGCTGGATTCCGTGGTACGCTCTCCATAGAACTTGAACACTCGCATTAGTGACGCCGATGGCGCGGATATCGTCAATGCCCTTATCACTCTGGAGTCTCCTACTTGCAATTCGCTCAATGATCTCATCGCTCGGAAGGCGTCGATTTCGGCCCTTGGCGCTGGTGGAGCGCCCCCGAGAATTGCGAACCCGCACGCTCGGCGTGCCGCTGCAGGAGGCAAACAACCCGAAGTCGTTAGGCAGTACTTACTAGTTCATCAATCAAATCGCTTTACCTACCGATGAGTTGGCGTCGGGGGCTGACTTGAAGCTCATTCGAGAAACTGGGCCGCGTGAGCGAATCCGGCGAATATGTACAAGATGGAAAGATGGACATTCCCAAAACCATTGCACTTGAGAAAGTTTGAGAGAATTGAAACCCTCAGCGCTGAGCACCTGGTTCTAGATATTCCTCGGTTCTATAGACACCAGAGTCCAGTGACGTATGTATGATTGATGGCTTGAATGGTTTGTACAGAGTTTGATCTGAGGATATCGCGCGAAAGTAGTTCAACAGCCCACCAGCCGAGACACTTACCATGTAAGTAACACATGAGTCAACATGTCATGGCCCTCGTTCTTGGTCTGCTTGGATGGTCGACCATGAGCGCCCACGGTTTGGTTCTTCATTGTCAACCCAAGCCTATTCATAGATATTCCGTTTGGCCCATGTACGCGATACTAGCAGTAGAATGCGCCCTGTCAGCCACGTCTACCCCGTTTCTGTCGGTGAACCAAGCCTGAATAGCTTAGCTTATTACAAGGAGTGAGTTCTGGGCGACATTAATAACAGGAGAGACATATGCATATATCGGAGCCCTTTTCGAAGGATGGCAAGCCAAGATATCAAGGTAGGTCATTGTTCTCGACGCCCATACAAGTTGTCCTTAATATTGAAAGAAAATATTTAATACATACGATGAACGGGGAAAGACCACCATTTTTGTGCGAAGGCTAAGGGAAGGTCTATCCAGATATCAGTTCGTGGTGACCAATGACTAAGTAGAAAGGCGTCAGAGGGACTATTCAGAATGGAACAGGCGGGAGTAGGGTCGATGCACAAGCTCACTTTCTTTTCTTGATAAGCTTTCCAGTTACTGGACACGCCATGTATCAACAGCTTTAGGTAGGAACATTGAGGTGGTCATCGAGGTTGGGAAGAAGAGTTCGCCATACGACCGTATTGGAACTCACTGTCAAGGCGTCTCCTAACCAGCCACCCTAGCCATGGAAGGCAAGCATGATAACCACTTCACCATCAGTGTATCCATCTTCAGATAAGTAGCGAAGGATGAAAACGAGGCAGGGCCGGAGTAGCAGGTATCACGGGTAGCTATTGACCTGAACGAAGAAAGGACGGATGAGTCTGGAATGTAGCATTTCACTGCATCGGCGTACACAGGGTCGAGTTATGCAATCATTGCTCCATTTCTCCAAGGGTTTGGGTAATAATTGTAAAGGGATCCATCGACTATTAACCAGATCCTGCTGTCAAGCATGTCAAGCCGTGAAAAAGGGAGGGCGTGGGGCGCGAAAGTCGGAGAGAAAGACTGAGGACAAGAGCACGAGACGCGAAGCGAGTACTCAATAAAATTGGTTTTCCGGTACGATGTCTTCAAAGACACATTGAGTTGGGGAATTGAGGCCCTTCTTTTACCTAGAATGAGGATGGTGAACTGGCCATTCAGGTGGACATATGGATCCTGATCAAGATTCAAATTCGAGGAGGCAGGGAGAAAGAGGCGAAAGGCAAAAGAAAGAATTTAGATGTCTCTGCTGTCATACACTGAAGGGGAATCGAACCCCTGCCGCTTGCTGAAACACCAAGAGATGGAAGGCAAGCATGATAACCACTTCACCATCAGTGTTGGACTTCCGGACACAACTATTGCCTTGGTCTTGCCTTTAATATATAGTGGGTTCAACATAGACATCGACGACTGTTAAACAAACAACATGATGTCGAATTCAGACAAGTTGTAGGAGTTGTAGAGGAGGAAAGGAAAGGAATTGATGAAGAGGAAAGGGACCGAGTAATTATGTAATTTACGTGGAGGAAATTGGCAAATTATATTCTCACGGCTCCCTTGTTCTGCTTGCTTCCACCCGTTCAAGAGTCCTCGTGTTTTCGCGTCGGGTTCTTCTGCATATCGTCTAAATTCACGCGTCGGAAGAGAAAAACCAGCAAATCAGGATGAATATCCGGTTAGCAAGGGTGCGGTTCGTGTTTGTCTGTCCCCAGATCTGCTTGTGCATATAATTAATTAAGATTGAATTGTAGTGGGACCACAAGCGTATGAGCAACGAACGAGGACTGACGCGACGGGTTCAGTATAGGTGGAAGACTTGATGGGCATGCAGGCAACGAATCTGCAGAATCTGCCGGAGAATTATGTTATGAAGTTCTGTGAGTGCTCTTCGCCGAGAGGGGAGCGGGGAAAGCTGATTTGCGCAGGGATGTACCACGCGATGACCTGGCCACAGATATCATATGTTGCGGAGGACCACAAGGGTCGGATTGTGGGGTATGTGTTGGCCAAGATGTACGTCGTCGATCTAATGAATGTCTGTTCATTTGTTAACGCTGGACATCAGTGAAGACGGCACTGAAGACGCGGACCCCAAGGACCCCGCCGCGCAGCCCATACACGGACACGTCAACTCGATTTCGGTGTTGCGGTCGTACCGACGGCTGGGGCTGGCGAAGAAACTGATGCTGCTCTCGCAGGAAGCGATGGCGTCGGTGTACAAGGCGGAGTATGTCTCGCTTCATGTGCGCAAGTCGAACAAGGCGGCGATTGGGCTGTACAGGGACACCCTCGGGTTTGAGGTGGCGCAGGTAGAGAAGAAGTACTGTGAGTGGTGTTCTCCCGGTCTGGGATGGCGCAGGCTAATGTGGCGTTGCTGCAGACGGGGATGGAGAGGACGCGCTGTCGATGCGCCTGAATCTCAAAGGCGCATAGAAGTTCGTCGACGTCACGGTGTTGTACATGTACCTAAAAATACACGTGTCGACGATAACGTCAATGACCGGTCTGGGTCTAGCTTCGCAACGAGGCATCGAAGTCGTACACGCGAACGAGCAAGTGGGACCCAACAGAAGCAGCTACAGAAGGGCGAGGCGTATGAGGATCGTGAACGCCAGCGTCCCGAGAAGCACCAACGCAAGTCTGAACGCTACGACCAGCATTGGCACGATCGTGATTCCGACAAACGCCAGAAGCAGAAGCACCTGGAATACCAAGAACCCCTCGACCGTAATGACGGCGATCTTGACGACCATCGCAAGCACCAGGAGCGCTATAGATACCAGGACCGTGATGATCGTGACAACCACTTCGAGCAGGACGATGACGACGATAGCGACTACGGTGCGGACAAGTCGGATAGTATCAACGGGAAGGACGGTGGTGCGTGTCGCTCCTTCGCTCTCCCCCCTTTTTTTACCTTGTTTCTTGTTCTCATGGGAGTTGTATTTCAATGATTCAGGTTCGTCTTCCTCAGGTGCCTCTGGCCGGGATCGACGCCGTCGAGGTGCTAGCAGGGACCATACTCATTTCCCCCGTTCGGTACAAATTCGGCGGCGCGGTATGTTGTGTTTTCTGCTCTGGCTTTATCTTTATTGGAGCTTATTGAAGTGTTGATTAGAGCTGAAGCTGTCGTCCCTGAAGGACAAGCTGCCTAGCCATCGTAAGGCGAAGGAGTACGGAGAGAAGCAGGGCAGCAATGACCGCGTTGAGCAGTCTGAATCTGAGTTTCCTCCCAGTTATGAGAATGATCGCGAAGAAGACAGTGACGAGCGTGATGAGAAGGACGGGGAGCGTCAGTATCATCATGAGCATGAGGCGGAGCACCGCCATGACCATGAACGACACTATGAGTACGAACATCACTACGACCACGACGGGTCGAATGGGAGTTTGGGGCAGGATGGCGGTAAGCCCTTTGCCTTTCTCTTTAACTTGTCTTCTGAGAGGCTGATCAACGCTGTGATCAATTTTTCTAGCAAGCGGCTCTTCGTATCGACGCCATCAAGCCCGCTCTATGACGCAGTTGATTGGCGGAAGGGAGTCGCATGTACATATGCGCGACGGGCTCAGTGGTAAGCTCCCTTGCCTTTTCTCTGCATTACATTCCGCCTATCGCTAACCCACCAACTCTTCCTTCTCAGACATAGATATTCTGAACTTTGCGCTTACGCTCGAGCACGTCGAGTCTGCGTTCTACAAGCACGGGCTCGAGAAGTACTCTTCATCGGACTTTGAATCGGCTGGGTACCCATCCTGGGTCCGCGGGCGGTATGAGCAAATTCAGAGCCATGAGGAGACACATGTGGAATTTCTGGAGAGTGCGCTTGGGACCATGGCGGTTGGGGGGTGTTCGTATAATTTGTGAGTCACTTTCGGCTTTCAGTTTGAGTGTGATTATGTGGATGCTGATGGGCCTTGGTAGCCTGGACGACAACGTGAAGCAGTGGGTGGAGATGTCGTTTTTGGTGGAGAATGTTGGCACTTCGGCGTATAATGGGGTTGTATCGTTCCTCCAGGACCGAGTTCGTTTCGTCCTCTATGTTTTATAGTTTCGAACGAGGAGCTAAGCGTCATTGGTGTTATAGGCTTATATGACGGTCGCTGCCTCTATCCTCGGGGTCGAGGCGCGCCATGCGGCGTGGATCAATGGGGCGGTGAGGAAGGAGAATCCGTGGAATACGGCTTTCGAGGTGTGTTGTTCGCCAGTAACCAACCGTCTTTAAACTGACCTCGGCCTCGTCCAACACCCAGACACCCCTCGACATGAACCAGGCCTTCACCCTCGCGTCATCATTCATCGTCCCTGGCTCTTGCCCATCCTCGAACTTGCCTATCCCAGCTAGCGCTTTCCCCAACCTGAAAGTTCCATCTGGTGAAGCAGGCGAGGTCGTCAAGCTCGACTTTTCCTCGGAGGGTGCTGGTAGTGATACACTATATGCAGCGTTCATCACCGGAGCCGGAACGGTGTTCGTCCAGCTCTGTGGGGAGGGGAAGAGGGACGTGCAGATCCCTGAGGGGCTGGAGGGCATTGTGTATGTGATTGTTACCAAGGATGGGGAGAGCGTGAGGGATGAGACGACTGTTGCGGGGCCTGCGGTTGTGTGGTTCGAGTTTGGTAGCGGGAGTAGGGATGATTGGGGTAATGAGAAAGGGAAGAGGCGATGAAGGCGAATGAGAACGATAAGAAATGGCAATTCGGTTGGGTTGCATTAGTATATGCCTATGGTCACGGTAGTGTGGCTTGTATTATAACTTTTCTTTATACCGACTTCTTTTTTATCTTCATGCTCAAGGGTTTCTTGAAGAGTTCGTTGGCTATTCATGCAGATGACCTGACCTTGCATTCGTCCTAAACCAAATACGCCACAGACCCCACTCGAGCACCTCGACATTTGAGATGTTGAACTCGGAAACAACAACTTCACGGTAATTAGGTGCATCTCTAAGGAGACAATTATATTAGGGACCGCTTGAATTTGCTGCTTCTGACCATCTGTGTACTTGTTACACAAAATTCTTCACAGAACCAAGAGATACCCTGAGAGAACACCAAAGGCGACAGCACCCCATGCTTGGTAAGGTACTCGCATGACCGCTGAGATTGCACTGTTGCCTTGGGCCTCAAGCGTATACCAGGGGGATGCCGGGCCCGTGTAGGTCGAAGTCAAGGTGGTATGGATGTCTTCGTTCCATGCCTCCATAACGCAAGACCCTTCACCCTTCCCGTCAAGACCGCACACCACGTTCTCGCCAGTCACACCAACGACACCCATTGTACCGGAATAAATTGGAGTTGGCTCCTGATGGTATGAAACATGGGTTGCATCTTCCACAAATGTGGCTATTGGAAGGGTTGTCAGTAAATAAATCTGTGATAAAATCCACGAGACGTCAATGAGACGTACCCTCATAGGTATACGGGTACGTGGTTGTCTTTGTTACGAATACCTGTACAGTTTCAACGACAGAACCACTTGTCACCGCGGTCCGTGTCGGCTCGATGTAAAGTACTGCGCTTCCGACCGCTTCCTTGTGGTAGGTCGTCGCCCCATCGCTTCCAGTACCGATCGCAAAAACGGTCACAGACGGTGCAATTTCTGTGGGAGCTGACGGGACATTTGTATTTTTAACCTCGAGCAGAGTAACCGCCGCTGCATTTGAACAGGCTGGGGAAAGCTGAATGTCGGAATGATAAAATGTACGGCGAACTCACCAGCGACGTGGAGGATCGAGAGGGCGAGGAAGTTCAACTTGGAAAGCATTGAAGGTTCTGGTGGGCGCGTAATTTCTCAATAAAAGAGAGCTTTGCTTTTTGTAGGCTTCATAAATTTCCATGGTTTGAGCGACCAGGGCGGGCGGCATTGACCGAAAATCTTGAAATGCATATTTTTGGAACTGAGATCATCAGGATTTATTCCAAACGAGGGACTTCGACTACCATCCGATACTCAGCACCCGTGATCCGGAGGGGCATACTTGCTCTAAACCAACAAATGCAACAGCACTGCCGAAGACTGCCATACAAAATATGTGGAGAACACAAATTATTGGATCATTCGTGCCGAAGTGCCAAACTCACTTCAAAGTTATGCCTAGTCTGTGTGAGCTTCCGATATCAATCAGATGCGAAGCCATGACAGCAGGGAAATTGCATTACTCGAAAATACGAACCCGTTCGTGGATGCGTGCCACAAAAAACGAATAGATGCCCCGAAAG